GCCCCCCCCCGCCCCCCACCCCACCCCAATGCTGTGGCCATGCCAGAAGAGCATCTAGGCTATTGTGCTTACAGAGGCCTCAAGGAAAAGTCCTAAGGTGAACTACCATGTGGAGGGAGAATATGTTCAGAGAACTAAGGCCACTTGTCAGAATGGAGGTTCTAATACGTGAAAGGCCCCCTTTTGTTGGGGATTGATTCTAATGTTTTGTCTTAATTTGGCTCCCAAAAATCACAGGAATCTGCATGTCCAGATGCTGAGGGTCCTGTCCCCAATTGGTTTTTTTGAGTGATCAATAAAGAGCCAATGGCCAATGGCTGGGCAGGGTGGAAGAGGCGGGACTTTTTGGATTCCTGGGCAAGAAAGGCAGAGGAGAGACAGAGGGGAAGCAGAAAGATCAGACTTAAAGGCCTGCCGACATGTAAGAATTCAGAAAAGTGACCCCAGGGACCACTCCCCCATTTGGGTCTGGGGAAGCAGAGATAAAATATAGATTTAGCAAATATTAATTCAAAAATACCAGAGGGGAGTGGAGGAGTATGTGCTAGCCAGAGGGAGGTTTAGGAGTGCCCAATCATTGAGCTAGTAAGGCATATTAAAAATAATGCTCTGTGTGTGTGTGTGTGTGTGTGTGTGTGTGTGTGTGTTTTCATTCACGAATCCAGAGAGCTCTGCCAGGTGGCTAGAAGCAAGACCCACAGGGAACTCAGTGCAAATTTAACAATTCAGTTACACCCTTTTGCTTGTCATCTAGGTCACAGTTCAGGGTACGCGCACAGTCTCTCATTCCATAGGTAATATAGAAAGAATTAGAGTCAAACCAGAAGTTGTGGGAAACACCAAATTGCTCAGTGCACATACACACAGGCACGTTAATGTATACATGTTCACGTGTATGAATGTAGGTATGTACATAACATGCATGTGGGCAGAGAACAACTTCAGATATCGTTTGTGCCTTAAACCTCATCTGAGGCAGTCTCTCTGTTCTCTGCTGCATACACCAGGCAAACAGGCTCATATGTCCACGTCTGTCTCCAGATCCCATCTCTCCAGAAGAGAGCTAGAATCACAGCTACCACATCTGGCTTTACATGGATTCGGGGGGTCTGGCTTCTAGTCTTCATTTACCCAGGAAACCTTTTCCTTGGCCCAGAAGTTGCTCTTTTAGGTCACTAGACTTGAGGGAGATTTCTGGTTGGCAGCAATAAATAATCAAAATACCCTGAACACTGAAGGGCTCAAATAAGTGCAACTAAGAAAATAATACATCAAATTAAAATCAATTTAAAAGGGAATTTCTAGGAAAACAATGAAATCTTGTAAATTGAAAACGAAATATGAATGCCAAAATAAAAACTCAAAGAGGCATTAAACAATAGAGAGGCCACTGCTGAAAAACGGGTTTGCAAATCCCAACCTGAGGAATCCTCCCAAAACACAGTGAAAAAGCTGATGTGACGGGATGGGTATGGCCCTCATGCCTCACTGGACAACAACAGGGGGACCGGAGCCATTACAAGGTCCCCTTCAATTACTGGAGGTCAGGCCTCTATCCCTGCCTTCGAAAGATTAGAATCTCCACAGCCCTTCTATACTTAGAGAAGGGAGGAGATGTCAGGGGCAGCCCTGATTACACACTGAAGGCCTAAAATCAGCCATAGGCCTAAAATCAGCAATAGGCCTGTCATACATGTATACTAACACCAAGTCTTGGGTCTCTGCGGATAAACACTGAAACAGATGGCTATAAGCTATTGTAAACAGGCAGCTTTTGTGGAAATTTACCAGCCCGAGTAGTCATAGACCTTGTAAATAGGTAGCCTTGGCAGACAATACCAACTTAGATAAGGACAAGTGAGTCATAGACAGAGTCATAGTGACCTGTCCCCTGAACCTTCACCCAGCCAATACCCTGTTCTGAAAGATATCTGTATTCCCCCTGAACACCCACACTCCAGTGTCATCCCCTTCCCCACATCCTGCCTTTCTGTGTTTATAACCCCTGTGTGAATGAACTACGATTTGAGAAAAAATAAATAAATTATTTAAAAAAGAAAAAGAAAAAGAAAAGAAGAAGAAAAAGCTGATGTGAGACAGAAATCAAGAGACAAAGAGTAAAATCTTACAGGGACAGACAAAAAAGAGCCAACAAGTGTTGAAGAGGAACTGAGATAATAAAGGAGAGGCTGTGTAAGAGTTCCTCTCAAGGTGAGGGAGACACCAGCCACAGCTCATACATTCAAATGCAAACAGAGCTTTAAGGTCACAGGCATGAATGCTGCAGATGAAAGCCATTCTCACAGAGACAACACACTGGCAGCACACTGGCTGAAAGAGGAAACTTACTCCTGGCCTTCATGACTCCACACCCTTCCTGCTGGGTCACTCTGTAGCTCCTGGTCTCCCAGCCCCACTCCCAGTCTCTCTATGC